AAATAAAAATATTTTAAAAAATAAACTTATTTGTTCTTAAACATGTTTTTATTAGTCATTTAATGTTGAACAACAACCGCTAACTATTGTATAGCTAAACAGTTATATTTATTGAATCCGCTATTTACCATCCGCTACCCACTTCCGTTATCCGTTATCCGTTATCCGCCATCCGCTATTCACTAACCGCCATCCACTACCGCTATCCGCTATCCGTTATCGGCTATCCGCTATCCGTTATCGGCTATCCGCTACCACTATCCGTTATTTGCTACCCGCTATTCGTTACCCGCTATCCTCTACCCGCTATTCGTTACCCGCTATCCGTTACCCGCTATCCGTTACTCGCTATCCGCTACCCGTTATCCACTGAATTTTAACCGCTGTACCAAATAAGCTCTTAACCTATGCAATAATTAACTTCAATGGTTTCGCTTTCCACTCTCAACAACACTCCCTATCAACGTACTGCATCCTTCTATCAACGTACTGCATCCTTCTAATACAGTCCAAAAGAAACTACCCCCCACATGCATGTACAATAGGAAGCCTATAGTCTCTGATATATTGCTATCTTATATAATACAATAATAATATAAAACATATCTCAATCTTCATTATAATAAAGGCAAATAAGAATTCAACTACCACTACTCAAACTTTAAATATTTAATTAAAAAAATCAATATTTACACTTTCAATGAAAATTAATTATAAAAAAATACATTTATTATATTATCATCATGTGATTTTAGAAAAACCTTTTTTATTTATTTAAAATTAGAATGATAGGCACTAAACTCTCATTTTTAACGTTTTGATTAGAATTCAAACACGCACTCAACCAAGTGTATAATTTAGGTATGGAACCAAACCAACTATAAGAAAAGGGTGGAGAGATTGAAAGAAACCTTTCCAAGAGTGTAAGCAAGAGCAGAACCGGCAACTCCGGCTCCGACGATGATAATATCCGTATCTCCGGTGGTACAATTTTTTGTTTCCTTCTTGCAGTTCTCTTGCTGAAACCCCATTGAACAAAAATTGTTGTTAGTTAGCAATGTCACTAGACACAACAAACCAACATATATACTAACTAATTAACATGGAAATCTCATGAAATTTAAACCTGTAGAATACGTAAACATAATTGTTGTCCATTGGGAAGAAATTAGATGGCATGTAT